GGCACGGATGTAGAGGAAGGTGGGCACGGATGTTAGCCCAGGGCCAGTCTTCCTCAAGAAAAAAGGGGAGGATTGGCATCGGATGTTAGCTCAGGGCTAGTCCTCCTTACAAAAAAAATAAATAAAGTGTACAATTTAATGGTTATTAGCATGGACACAGTTTTGTAACCATCTCCACAATCTAATTATAGAACATTTCATCACCCCTGAAAGAAACTATGCCTATTAACATCATCCTCCATTCCCACCCTTCTCTCCTTCCCCCACTTCCCCATCCCAGGCAACTACTAAAATACTTTCTGTCTCTAGATTTGACTGTTCTGGATATTTCATATTGTTTTACTTTTAAGTAAAATGAGGAGTGAAGAAGCACTAGACATTTGAGGAACACCTCTAAAATGAAAACAATAAAAAAGAAACTCAGTGGAAACACAAGCAATATAAAGGCCAGAAGATAACTTTAAAAAAAAACATATTTTTTGACATCCATAGAATATGAACAGGAGGCAATCAAAACGAATATTCAGAGAACAAGAAAGCTCTTGGGAATTAAAAATATGATAGGAAAAAAAAATCAACAGAAGTAGAGACAGAGTTGAAAAGATCCCTTACTCAAAAATGCAAAGATATGGGAAATGAATTAAAAGGTAAGAAAATCAGAGATTAATTCATAATGAAAATATTCCCAGCAAAAGAGCAAGAAAAACAGAAAATTCTTAAGGGGTCTGGGCAGAAGAAGTCTTTAAATAAAAGAAAATTTCAAGAACCAAAAGATCTGAGATTCTAGATTAAGAAGGCCCATGTATTTCCAGCATAATGAATGAAAAGACACCCACTCCAGGATGCATTATTGTGAAATTTTAGGTAACCAGGCATAAAGAGATGATTACAAAGGCTCCCAGAGAGGTTGGTGCAGGGAACGTGCTACCTACAGAGCACTGGGGGCCAGAATGGCTCTGAACTTCTCAGCTGGGAATCGGAAAACAATGGCACAGTGCCTTCAAAATTCTGAGGCATGAGGCTGGCCTGGTGGTGTAGTGGTTAAGTTCATGCACTCTGCTTCGGTGGCCCTGGGGTTCACAGGTTCGGATCCTGGGTGTGCACCTACACACCACTTATCAAGCCATGCTGTGGCAGGTGTCCCACATATAAAAAGTAGAAGAAGATGGGCATGGATGTTAGCCCAGGGCCAATCTTCCTCAGCAAAAAGGGGAGAATTGGCAACAGATGTTAGCTCAGGGCTAATCTTCC